TAATTAGTTACTTAGTTACTTTTTAGAAACATGATTTACAACCTAAACAGGTTATAAAGCGATAGATCTCTCAGCCCAATTCTACTTTCTGCCTAATCAATCGTATAAAATGTAATCAAATGGAAAAGGTCTCTTTTTAAAATTGGTTTTACTAGTATTAAATCCAGTTCTTTGTATTCTTTAACGGCCAAAAAAGACACGGCTCAAAGTGGTCTAACTTAAAAAATGATCTTTAATTTTACATATTCCGGAATATGGAGACTTAGCACAAAAATGCCAGCTCAAGTCTAAAAAGACAGCGCAGCCAGTCTCACTATATATTTTGCAGCACGTCAGACCCAGTTTCGATACAAACAACTCTTTATATGGTAAGTTCCTCTTTCCTTTGTGTCTTACTTCCTGTGCAGCTTGCAATAACTTCCCCTTTCTGAAGTCTGTACGGGAAAGTAACGGTAATCTAATTACCTTTTTTGCAATCTTAATCCCTTACTTTACTCGTTTCTTGAAAAAAGTAATTGGATTACAGTAATGGTTAATAAAATGGATGTTATGTAGGAATAAGGTCATGGTAGAGGTAATTGAAGGGAAATTACATAAAAATGTCAAAGATGAAGTGAAGTATATTCATGAATATAACGAATGCTGATTTGTAATGGAATTTTCTGCTAATAACAGAAATGAAAATGTAATGAATTCATTCTAAAGTTTAAATGTTTTAAATCATGTATTTGGAGAAGTCAGCAAGACAATGATAAGGTGGTGGTCGACATCAGGTGATTAGATGTCAATAACATGATTGGATGCCACATTAGAGGGGTGAGGAAGGACGATCTGTCACAGTCCGGGTTGAGAGTCTAGTTTTTTTATGTATTTTTTTATTATATCTCTAGTTCTGCTTCCTGCATCTGTAACCGCAACTGGAAACCATCAGCAGTAATCATTGGATTGGGATTTAAGACCAACTCAGACTTCTGCACTCTGCCAGATAATCTGCTAACCCATGGTGGTAAATCTGCCTTCATGTTTGGTTCTCACTTCGCTGTTCCTTGTGTTAACCTCTCATGTCCTTGTGTCTCCAGTTACCTCTGCCTTCAAACTTCGTCGTTCTTCTGATTTTACTGACACCAGTCTATCCTGCCATCACGCAACTGCTGAATATTCACCTGCCTACTCTTCTCCTCGCAGCTTGGCATGCCTTGACACTCACCTGGGTACCCACACCCCAGAGCTCCCTGTTGTGTGCTTTCCTGAGATGTTCATTTCCTGCCACACTTTCATGATTAAGATTCCTGAGTTTAATAAAGTCTCATGTTCTTGTGAAAATGTTTGCCTATTGAGTCTGCTTTTGGGTCCACCCTTCATACTGGCCTTTGGGCCTTCTGGCGTGATCCAGTATAAATCTTAGGTGAAGAAGAGATACGGGGTTCTTCTCTTTGTCTTCTGCAAGATAAGCAGTACAGAAGATTGGACCTTACAGTAAAAACTGGCTTTGATCATGGTTGATGTTTGGTTTTTGGATAACTTTTAATACTGCATCATTCACTAAATTGCAGAATATGATCAACTGGAACTAAAAAA